ATAGTTTATTCACAAAAGCCTACAACCGTTGAAAATATGAAAAACCGGATCAGACAGGCTTGCAGAAATATTAATGTAGGTGTTCTTGAAAAAGTTAGGGACAACTTTCACCATAGACTAGAGCTATGCATACAAGTAAATGGCCAAGTTTTTGAACACTAAGTAATTGTACACAAAAGAAGATTTTGCCTTGACTGGTTGGATCATGCTCGGATCTTGCCTTGACTGGCTGGATCATGCTCGGATCTTGCCTTGACTGGCTGGATCATGCTCGGATCTTGCCTTCATTGGCTGGATCATGCTCGAATCTTGCCTTGACTGGCTGGATCATGCTCGGATCTTGCCTTGACTGACTGGATCATGCTCGGATCTTGCCTTGACTGGCTGGATCATGCTCGGATCTTGCCTTGACTCGTTGGATCATGTAAGATAAGACTATCGGAAAGTGAATGTTTTACGAAATATTTTGTATTTTTATCAAAATTTTGTAAATTTGGAGCTTTATAACTCGAAAAGTACTTCACCTAAAAACATTTGATTATAGTGTTTTGGGAAGCTCTCGAGGTCAGCTACAAGAATATGTAATAAAAATGTAGGGGATGCTGTCTAAAAAAATTGAGGTAACCTTCACGTGACCTTCAAATGATTCTTCAAGGTCAAATCAATGGTACCATCTTATGGCCCCCTCGAAACCATACAAAACGTGTCTAAACCATTTTCCTCTAAAATCAAAAATAAGAGAGGTATTTGGGTTGGACGTTTAAAATGGGACACCCTATATATAGAAATATGTGAGTGATAAATTAAAGTATAATGTAAATGTTATTGGGTATGTAATAGCTACGTATATCCTCTCTTTCAAACATCTTATTATCATATATTCATAAAACTTGGTACATACTATGTTTCATAAGTTTCCTAATGTGAATTCTCACGTGGGGTTACACTGTCCCCCAGCCAGTATTTGACAGTTTCTGCCGCTTAATTTTTATGGCATAGCCAGTTGTTCTTATATAGATTATGTTGCTAAAGGTCCAAGTGAAAGGTAGGTATGGGTTTCAGGTCGGTAAAACAACTCATTGTAACGTGAACATAAGTTTTTCATAGCTGGAGTCTCTGGTGACCCCGCGCGTGAACTGCCGGGTTGAGGCCATCCCAAGGTCAAATACATAGCGTCAGTAAATAGATTCTTTGAAGCTCTACAACTTTTGTCTGAAACATTTTTCTTTAAAATGTCGCGTTTATGAAAAAATTGGGTGATCATACTCCGTATATTCAAAAAGTCGCAGATAAATTTAGTAAAATCTTATACATACATAATATTATATAAAAAGCTTTTACACGGTATAAAGTCGTTAAAAAAAAAAGAAAAGAGAACTGTTTAATAATTAAAATGATAAAATACTTCCACTGAATATCAGGAATTTATTTAAAAATTTGTTGGTCATGTTGCAAAATCTATATAAAAGAAATTAAGAGAATAATTGTTATACATGAAAAAAAAAACTTTAATCTGCAATCAACAAGAACATACAATATAATCAGCGTTATCAGAAAATTATATGGAAATATGGCATAACTCTATTTTATCAAACATTATTTCTTGCTAAAACTAATACTTGCTTCTTTGGAAAATATCTGTACAGGGTGATCTGAAATTCCCGCATTTGGAGTACAGGACATGATACTTTATGTTAAAGCAAACAACTTTTTCCTTTAGCAAAATTGCGTCCGACAAGTAGTTTTTGCAGAAGAGCGTGTTAAAGTTAACGAATAAGTGCTTTCATCTATGTAGCGCTCAAGGCCGATGCGTGCACCTTACTCGCGTGTATCTAGTCAGTGTAGTATTCATAAGTAATTTCTTTCAAGACGCTCATACCGCTCTGTTGTGATCAGTTTACGACATCTTAAGACTGTATTTAAGACAATCTTAAATAATAAGAATCTTAAATAATAAGAACTATAAACAATACCGGGATTTCACAACTCACAAAGCATATTACTATTTACATTTATTTTTATATTCAGATAATATGGTAAAATCAAACAATTTTTATTTATTTATTACGTAAGAAATAAAGGCAGTACTTATTTTACTAAATTTTCATTATTTAAGCAATATAATATGGAAGAAGGTCAAATCCTAATATTGTTCATAATTGATTTTTATTATTTAAGATTGTCTTAAGTATACTCTTAAGATGTCGTAAACTAATTACAACAAAGCCGTATGAGCGTTTTAAAAGACATTACTTATGAATACTAGTCACTGACTAGCTACACGCGAGTGAGGCGCACGCGCCGGCCCTGAGCGCTACATAGACAAGAATGCTTATTCATTAACTTTGATATGCTCTCCTGCAAAAACTACTTGTCAGACGGAATTTTGTTAAAGGAAAAATTGTTTATTTTAACATAAAATGTCATGTCCTGTACTCCGAATGCCGGAATTTCGGATCACCCTGTATAAAAAATAATCTTGATATTCGTTCAAATACTAGATGCGCAACTAAATTCCGGGTTTCACACATGGATAGCACTAACGACACATGTAGCCGACATACATGTCTGAAGTTGTTTTTTTATAGCTTGGACATCTGTTAACAATAACCAGTCGTAATACCAACACATATCGCAACGCAAAAATATTTTTCCTAACAACGAAGATGTCGAGTTTTGTGCCAAATAAACAGCATTTGCGGGAAGCTTTGCTTTCCTGCTTTAACTTGAAAAAAGTGCAGCTGAAACACGTCGTTTGCTTGAGGAGGCCTACGGCGAACATGCACCATCGAAAACTACCTGTGAAGATTGGTTTAAACGCTTCAGAAGTGGCGATTTCGACACTGAGGAGCGCTCCAGAAGACCAAAAACAATTGAGGACGCTGATCTGCAAGCGTTATTGGATGAAGATGATATACAAACACAAGATCAACTTGCGGAGGCATTAAACATGACTCGCCAAGGTATTTCCAAACGTTTATATGCCATGGGAAAAATTCAAAAGGAAGGAAAATGGGTGCCGCATGAGTTGACTGAGAGACAGATGGAAAATCGAAGAGCCACTTTCGAAATTTTGCTTTTGTGACATGAAAGAAAGAGTTTTCTGCATCGAATTGTTACTGGCGGTGAGAAGCGAATATATTTCGAAAATCCCAAACGCAAAAAATCGTGGCTTTCACCTGGCGAAGTATCAACATCGATGGCACGGCCAAATCGCTTCGGAAAGAAGACAATGCTCTGCGTTTGGTGGGACCAGAAAGGAATCGTGTACTATGAGCTGCTGAAAAGAAGCCGGGAGAAACTGTCAATGGGTATCGCTACCGACAACAACTGATCAATTTCAACCATGCATTGCTCGAAAAACGGCCAGAATGGGACACGAGACATGGACGAGTAATATTGCAGCACGACAACGCTTCGTACCATCGCACTTCTATTGTCAAACCATCAAAACGCTGAAATGGGATCTGCTACCGCATCCGCCGTATTCGCCAGACATGGCCCCTTCCGATTATCACTTGTTCCGGTGGATGGCGCATGGCTTGGCTGGGCAACACTTGGCCAATTTCGAAGAAGTGCAAAATTGGTTGGATGAATAGTTTCGGTCCAATGACGCGTCGTTTTATTGTCGTGGTATTCATCTATTGCCAGAGAGATGGCAAAAATGTGTAGCTAGTGAGGGACGATACTTTGAATAAGCCATTTTTTGTATTTCTCTTGAAATTTTCCATTTTTCATTGATAAAAAACCCGGAAACTTAGTTGCGCACCTAGTAATTTTAACAGAGATAATGAGTTAAAAATCGATTTGAATTCGATTTGATGATCTATCATCTCTATGCTAATAATCAACATCTCTATTCTTTCTTCCAAAGTTCACGTTTTCCTTCTTTTAACTAATAATTAAATACTCCTGTAGGTAAATATATAGAGAAGGGGACACCTCTCCGACTGTTTTCATTTTGAAATATAATATGTTATAAAGCATGAAATTCTGAATAACTTTTCCTAATATAACTATAGGGGGGTCACTTGTAATTTAGGAGATATAACAAGATAAAGTGGTAATTATTTAGAAGACGGGACTCGCCTTGGATTTCGCTCAAACTCACCTATCTTGTGTATTTTGACGTGTAGAAGCCGAATCTGTAAATTAAAATCGTCGCTCGGCTCTACTTTGCGAGAAATGGTTAAATTGTTAAATTATTAAAAAATGACACGAGGTTAGGAAATCTGTCATGCCGGTAATACAGTGTAGCGTGAGAAAGAACAGACAAGAGCCAAAGCCACGACACCTGAAGGAACACGGTCCAAAAGAGAAGGCAGAGTGTCTTGTTTAGTCAGAGAGAAACCTGAGAGCGGCCACCGGGCGAAAGCATATGTCTGTCCTGATACGCCCCGTGAAAATAGACGTCAACTAACTCGATGTCTTGGTAACGATACGAGGTTTGTGTCTGTGATTTGAGTCTGGTTAATGTCCAAGCTACTAAAATAGACTATAGTGAAAATGATATACAGGGTTTGTCAAAAGTGTAGAAACTCTTAAATAATTTTCGTAAAAATCGAAATATCAAAAAACGGTAAAACACGTATTTTGATTTTTCAAAAAAGCTACCCTATGGATAAATGGATACCGATCATTCCCCACCCCCTGATACGCGGGGGTAAAAAGGAGGTTGAACATTTTTAATTGGACTAAGGGTCGAGTGGTCAAGGGTGCCCATTTGAAAGGTCTTTTCAAAACAAACACACCCTTAAAATTTTAAGTCGCTACAACCCCCCCCATTAAAAATGGCAGCCGTTCAAATTTCGAAATTTCATGCACTTAGTGTTATCCAGGATCAACTGCGTGGAAGTGGCATGAATCTGATCCCTTGTGTGTGTGTGTGTGTGTGTGTGTGTGTGCGTGCGTGCGTGCGTGCGTGCGTGCGTGCGTGCGTGCGTGCGTGCGAGCGCGTGCGCGTGTGTGCGCGTGTGGGTGTGGGTGTGGGTGTGCGTGCGTGTGCGTATATGTGTGCGTGCGTGTGGTTAAACAAGTGTGAATGTGTTGTATATCATGATAGGTTGCAAAACAGATGATTGAAAACCGTCATCTCTCTTTAATTATTCAAAACCTTTTATTCCGTGTTTTAAAATAAATTTTACTCAGTATGTTAAAGTAAATGCTGAAAGTTGTTGCCATTTACTTCCTGACAATATGCCAATCTTTGATAGAATGCAGAAATGGCTGTACGATTCGTCTCAAAAGGTATCAAATCTATTTCATCCCTTATTCGCTGTATCAATTCTTGGATGCTTTTAGGTTTTGTTTTGTAAACCTTACTCTTCAGGTGTCCCAGTAGATAATAATCAAGAGGAGTTAGATCTGGTGACCGAGGTGGCCAATCCTCTCCTCCCTCATTTTTGTTCCTTCTTCCTATCCATCGTAATGGAAAAGTCTTATTTAAAGTTTGACGTGGCCCTAAATCAAAATGAGCAGGAGCTCCATCATGCTGAAACCATATTTCTTCGAAATTATTTGGAAAAATATTTCGTATGGCTAGAATTATTTGATCTACAAGTAATCTGTCATACCTTTGAGCGTTCAGATTTTCTTAAAAAGAAAACGGTCCTATTAAGTAGCCGTCTATTATTCCACACCATACATTAATTTTTTGTGTGTATTGTGTGTGAGTTTCCCGCACCCAATTCGGATTCTCATTTGACCAGAAACGAAAATTTTGATTATTAACTTCTCCCGTTAACGTGAAAGTTGCCTCGTCTGTAAAAACAATTTGATAAGGGAACATGGGCCGTACATCTATTAGTGCCATCATTCTTTCACAGAAACCTATACGATGCTCCACATCTCCGTCTTGCAATTCTTGAACATATTGTAATTTGTATGGATGGAACTTGTCTTTCTTTAAAATTATCCAAACGGACTTGGGAGTAATATCGTGAGTTTGAGCGGCTCTGTTAATAGTAGAATTGGGACCTTCAATAAATGTCTGCAGAACATCAACAAAGTTGTTTTCCTTCGTTAATGGCAGGTCTCCCTGATTTAGGGCGATTGTTTACGCCAAAGCTGGCCACAATCTGCACATTTCGGGCGAAATTCAGTAGGTGACGCCTACCGTCCCCCTCACACCGCTCCGCGCTCAGTGGCTAGGGCGACGATCGTGATGCGCTCAGGCCCGTCGCTGTATAAGAAATCGGCTGAGGCGTACCCTTGCAACATATTATTATTAAAATTGTTTCCTCGTTTAATAATCACTTTAAAATAAATATGTTTACGTGTTTTATAAATATATATATATATATATATATACATATATATATATACATATTATTAGGTGCGCAACTAAGTTCTCGCTGTTTTTTTGATGAAAATGCAACTTTATTGTGAAAAAATGGTTACAAATGAATCATTCAAAATATTGCCCATCGCTAGCGACAACTTTTTCCCATCTTTCTGGCAGAGCTCGAATACCGTCACGGTAGAAGTGTTCGTCTTTTGAGGCTGTCCACGAATCAAGCCATTTTGAGATGTCTTCATATGAGCGGAACTGCTGATTAGCCAGACCATGTGCCATCGAACGGAACAAGTAATAATCGGACGGCGCAATATCTGGGGAATATGGCGGGTGGGGTAGGACTTCCCATTTGAGCGTTTCTAAGTAGGTTTTAACGGGTTTGGCAACGTGAGGCCGAGCGTTGTCATGCTGTAGAATCACTTTTTCGTGCCTCTGCTCGTATTGTGGCCGCTTTTCGCGCAGTGCTCGGCTCAATCGCATCAATTGAGTTCGATACCGTTCCCCAGTGATGGTTTCGTTCGGTTTTAACAGCTCATAATAAATAACACCGCCCTGGTCCCACCAAATATACAGCAAAACCTTCGCAGCGTGAATATTCGGCCGAGCCGACGACGTAGAAGCATGACCGGGCAGTCCCCATGATTTTGTTCTCTTTGGATTGCTGTAATGAATCCATTTTTCATCACCCGTAACGATGCGATGAAGAAAACCCTTCCTTTTTTGCCGCTGGAGCAGTTGTTCACAGGCGAAAAAACGACGCTCAACGTCTCTTGGCTTCAAATCATAAGGAACCCAAGTTCCTTGTTTTTGAATCATTCCCAACGCATGCAATCGCTTGGAAATGGCTTGGCGGGTAACTCCTAATGCTGAAGCAAGCTCTTTTTGCGTTTGGCACGTATCCTCATCGAGCAATGCCTCCAATTCAGCGTCTTCGAAGGTTTTTGGCCTTCCTTCACGCGAACGGTCGTCAACATCGAAATCACCGTCTTTGAAGCGACGGAACCAATCACGGCACGTTGTTTCACTTAGAGCAGCATCTCCGTAAACTTTTTGGAGTTCTCGATGCGCTTCAGCCGCCGTTTTCTTCGAATGAAAGAAGAAAAGCAACACTTCCCGCAAATGACGATTATTTGGCACAAAATAAGACATTTTCACACAACCAAAAGTATATGACGCAAAAACAAAATCACTAATGTGTCAAAGCGGTTTGTTTACCATATGTCTAAGCTTGGTTCATGACGTTTTGGTTATGTCACGATCGACCAACACTTACTACTGGAGCCATCTCTTGAAAAACAGCGGGAACTTAGTTGCGCACCTAATATATATATATATATTACATATACCATGTATGTCGGTAATTACTTTCCGGTTTTTGTAACAGATGTCATTAGTCATAAGTATGCAATGTTATGATTTGATACATATGTCATTTTATTCTACTGACATTAACCTCAAAACTACACAAGTTACGTTCCACCAAAATAACAGCGTTATAGATTTATAATTTTTTGAAAATGTCGAGTTTTGTGCCTGAGAACGTGCATATGCGGCACGCATTACTTTTCTTGTTTAATCAAAAGAAAAAAGCCGCTTAAAGTCATCGTTTGCTGGTAGAGACTTACGGTGAGCATGCTCCAACCATAAGAACATGTGAAACGTGGTTTCGACAATTCAAATGTGGTGATTTCAACGTTCAAGACAAAAAACGTCCTGGTAGGCCGAAAACGTTTAAAGAAGCGGAATTGCAGGAGTTATTGGATGAAAACCCAACACAAACTCAAAAACAATTGGCAGAAAAGTTGAATGTGACTCGAGTAGCAATTTGTGAACGATTACAAGCAATGGGAAAGATCCAAAAGATGGGAAGATGGGTGCCACATGAATTGAATGACAGGCAATTGGAAACTCGAAAAATCGTCAGTGAAATACTGCTTCAAAGGTATGAAAGGAAGTCATTTCTGCATCGAATAGTAACGGGTGATGAAAAATGGATTTATTTCGAAAATCCCAAGCGAAAAAATCATGGTTATCACCTGGCGAAGGCGGCCCATCGACTGCAAGGCCAAATCGCTTTGGTCGCAAGACCATGCTCTGTGTCTGGTGGGACCAGGTTGGTGTCATATATTATGAACTGTTGAAACCTGGAGAAACAGTTAATACTGATTGCTACCAACAACAAATGATCAATTTGAACTGTGCATTGATCGAAAAACGTCCACAATACGCTCAAAGACATGATAAGGTGATTTTGCAGCATGACAACGCGCCGTCTCATACAGCAAAACCAGTCAAAGAAGTGTTGAAATCACTTGGATGGGAAATTTTATCGCACCCGTCGTACTCTCCAGACCTGGCTCCATCCGACTACCACCTTTTCATATCGATGGGGCACGCGTTTGCAGAGCAGTACTTCGCTGATTTCGAAGAAGTTAAAAAATGGCTCGATGAATGGTTTAGCTCAAAGGAGAAACAATTCTTTTGGAATGGCATTCATAAATTGCCTGAGAGATGGGCAAAATGTATAGAATCAAATGGCCAATACTTTGAATAAATATATTTTAACTATCCATTGTAAATAACGTGTTTTCTTTAGCGAAAAAACCGGAAAGGAATTATCGATATACCTGGTATATGTATAATATATATATGTATGTGTATGTGTGTGTGCGCATACGCATATATATATATATATATATATATATATATATATATATATATATATATGTATTAAACACGTAAACATATATATTTTAAAGTGGTTATTAAACGAGGAAACAGTTTTAATGATAATATGACGCACCAGCTGATTTCTTATACAGCGACGGGCCTGAGCGCATCGCGATCGTCGCTCTAGCCGCTGAGCGCGGAGCGGTGCGAGGGGGACGGTAGGCGTCACCTAGTGAATTTCGCCTGAAATGTGCAGATTGTGGCCAGCTCTGGTTTACGCTACAGGTTTCTCTGAAACGTTTTTAAGACAGTGGACTTATTAATTCGATTCGGATGCGTCTCATTAAATAATTGAGCGACAGCAGCGTACGACCGCTCGTTATCACCCCATCCACGCATCATGAGGATAGTGATTCTTTCACGTTCCGACAATTCGCCAGCCATTTTTAAAACGTTTAATTTTTAATCTGCCTAAGATCTGTGAGAACTGATTTTAAGTAGCCGTGAGAACAACTGATTTTAAGTAGCAGTGAGAATAACTGATTTTAAGTAGCCGGTTGATTCTGGATAACACTAAGTGCATGAAATTTCGAAATTTGAACGGCCGCCATTTTTAATGGGGGGGGGGTCGTAGCGACTTAAAATTTTAAGTCGCTACGACCCCCCCCCCATTGTGTGGGGGGTGTGTTTGTTATGAAAACTTTCAGATGAACCTCCACTCAACCCTTAGTCCAATTTAAAATTTTCAACCCCCCTTTTACTCGCGCGTACCAGGGGGTGGGGAATGATCGGTATCCATGTCATAGCTTTTTTGAAAAACCAAAATACGTGTTTTACCGTTCTTTAATATTTTCATTTTTACAAAAATTATTTAAGGGTTCCCACACTTTTGACAAACCCTGTATGTACTAAAACAATATATGCTGTTCACCATACTAATCGCGAACTATTTCAAATTCATAATTCAACGATTGCCAACAGTGGACAATTTTATAAATAATGTAAACAAATACTTTTTTTGTTAAAAGATGAACGTCGGATTAGAGAGTACGGCACATATAAACTTTGTACTATAAATAACGTCAGACTATATCTAGAATTTAACATAAAAATTTTTAACTTTATCTTGTTATATCTCCGAAACTACAAGCGACCCCCTATAGTTATATTAAGAAAGAAACTCAGAATTTCACGCTTTACAACATATTTCAAAATGGAAACAATCGGAGAAGTGTCCCCTTTTCTATATACAGGGTGTCCCGAGAGGAAAGGTCAATATTTCGTGGGGGTATAGAATGAGGTAATATAAGACAAAAATGTTACATAAACATGATGTCGTTTATTACTAGTTTCCGAGATACAGCTATGTTAAATTACACGTCGGAATTGTGTATTATAAGTTGAAGTTTACTGCAATTACATTATAATACATCTGTCATAACAAATTTTCGAATATTTCGCCCCGTACTTCGATAAATTTGTCACATCTTGTGAGAACGTGGCGGGTTGTGTGCCGGAGGGCATCTTCACGGCCCCTAATTTGGTCAACAGCGACTATTACACATGCAATAAATTCATTCCGTGTATTCACTTTAGTTTTATACACCTCGCACTTTAACCAACTTCACAAGCAGAAATCCAAGGGAGTTAGGTCGGGTGATCTTGGTGGCCACTGCACTGTTCCACCGCGACCGATCTAGCGATGTGAAAACACTGCATTTAAGTGTTCTCTCACAAAATGTGTGTTATGAAGAGGTGCTTCGTGCTGAAAATACATTATTCTTCGTGTAGCCAAGGAAATATCTTCTAATTGTTGTTGAAGCGCATTTTGTTAAAAGTCGAGGTAACTCTGCCCTATCATACGATTTTGTAAAATAACGGGACCAATCAGCATTCCATCAATCATGCCACACCATACGTTGACGGAGAAACGAACTTGGAAATTCTGCACAACAATGGCGTTAGGGTTATTTTACGATCAACGATGGGTGTTACGCGTATTATTTATGCCATTACGCGTATTATTTATGCCATTCTTTACCTTGCCGATTTGTTTCAAGTGATCCAATATCGTTAAAATAGTAATATTAAACCTTGCTGCTAATTCACGCGTAGTTTGAAATGTATCTACTTCCACTATAGCTTTCAGCTCATCATTAGTGTCGGGTCGCTCACGTGGCTCATTTTCAAAATTAAAATCGCCAGAACGAAACTTCTCAAACCATCGACTGTACCGTGCTTTCATTATCCACATCTTCACCAAACACTTCGTTGATATTTTGAGTTGTCTGCGCTACATTGGTTCCACGACGGAACTCATATTCGAAAACAACACGAATGTTTAACTTATCCATGGTTACACAAAGATTGCTGTAACAAAGACATTTTGAAAGATAATCACAAACCAAAAAATGCGTTTGAAAGAGTGATGAGAAATGAACCACATGGGCGACCCGACACCAATGATGAGCTGAAAGCTATAGTGGGAGCGGATATATCTTAAACTACGCGTGAATTAGCAGATAAGAAAATAAAACCAAGAACTGTAAAGATGAAATGTCAGAGATATCGATTGTCGAACTTAGTACTTAAGAAAATCGGACATTTTAGAATTAACGACCTAATGTAACAAGTGAAACTATCACATTATCTTTTATGCGTCATGTAATGTATCAATTTAAATTTGATATTTTTTTTATGAAAAAACAATCAAAAAATACTTTTTCTATTTAAAAATTGTTGTTGAAAAAATTATTTTCGGATACCTGATAGAAAATTCGCAATCAGTTAGCCGAAAAAACCACAACATAACAGTTCCAATAAAAGTAAATAATTATTTTACTATTTGTATTTGCCATGTTACATCCGCCATCTTGAATTTTTAAAATCTGACATCAGATTTGTAATCAGCAACTCAAAGAACCCATAAATATTGAATTTCGCAAAAATTCGTGTGATAAAGCGTTATTAGTGTCATACTTTCTTAATAGGCAATAACCGCTTCGACCCTCTATATCTTTGAAACCAATCGTATGCTCAATATAAAACTTCTATAATTAATGTCCCATTATGAGCTACCTCTTGGCATAAAATTCGATTCCAAAATCGGAAATCGAAAAACAAGCAAAAAATCCACCGTTTTTACGGAGATTCTTTGCAGAGAAGTAACAATTTCAAATCACCTTCTTTTTCTGAAGAAGTAAAATGAAATATAAAATACTCAAGATGTATAAATTTGTTGGCAATCTCCTGGTAACAATAACAATATGTAATATTAGATTGTATACTTTTACAATAATAGTATGTAATCTAATACTATACATCGCCCGGTGGACATTTCATAATGTTGAAGTAGAAGTGCGTAATTAGCATCATGTATTGCCCGCTATTACCAGATCGTCAGCAGATTGAAGCCATCCATAAAACTTTGTTTATAGAATCCGTGCACTTATTTATAAATATCATTTAATTAATTTGATAATATCGCGAAATACACAAAATGATAAAGAATTTTCTTATTCAGTTCTTAAATTGCTTTATTTGCATACAAGTGTTTTATTCTTAATTTTTAGATATTCTGTATAATTTATTATTACTTGACCGTGTAGTTAATATCCAGATTACAGATAGACATATGTTTTATTTAGTGGAAGCGGCGATGGATTCTACAGTTCTGAATTTCAGTCGCTATTACGGGGGAATTCGTTATATAATGCAACCATGCCACGGCAATTAGCTTACGGTGCCTCAATTACTTTAAAGAATCATCGCACAGGCGGCGGTTATTTGCATTCCCACTGGCACTTGTATCCCGAAGGAGTTGGCGCCAGACAGCAACAGGTTGGTAGCAGTTAGAAGAAACGCATTATTTATAACGCTGTTATCGTTGCACGATATTTGTTTTATTAACACTAACTTTGTTATTATTTGATTTATTAGTAATGTGATATTATAGATATATGAATAATTTAAAGTTTTCAGCTAAATTCTAGATTCATTTTAAAAGAAAATAAAGCAAATTTTTCAATCAAAGTATTCTACAATTTTAAGCCACCTTTCAAGCAGCTAATTACTTCTATCACGGAAAAATGCTATTTTTGATCGCAATAAAATCATCAAGTCATTTTCGGATTTCATCTACTGATTGGAAGTACACATCAGATAAGACGTGTTGTATCGACAACACCGGAACAAGTGATAATTGGATGGAGTAATGTCTAGTGAATATGCTGGATGCTGTAAGACGTCTTAGCTAAGATTCGTGTTATGATGTTTTTTGTTTTAGAAACAATGTACGGCCTGGCGTTATTATATAACAATTTCATAGGATGTTTTCGTTCCAATTCTTAACTCAATTAATTGGATTAATTAATTAAATTAGTTATAATATAGTGGATTAATTGGCGTTAGTAGCGGTCAGTAATAATCGTAATTTCAGTAATTTCCCGGTTTCAAACTCATAATAAAGTATGTCCTTGATATTCCTATAAAATGCAGAGCAGAACTATTTTTCCGAAGTAATTGAAGTTTACGACCGATATTGATGGTTCATTGGGATTTATCCATGATTTTTTGTGTTTTGGATTATTATATTCATTTCTCATTTCCTATAACAATTTTACACAAAAAACACTTTCGACGCTGTTTATTGAGAAGAGAAAGACACGCTGCTATTCGTTAATTTTTAACTTCAGTGAGTGATGCAGAACCCATTTTCCTTCTTTTTGGATCTTTTCTATTTAGGCAATTGGAAATGGTTTGCGTATTCCTAATTGTTCTGCAAATTTCTCAGCGTTTTTTGCATTTATGCGGACACATGCTCAACAAATTCTTGTTATTCTAAATCATCGCTGTCGCATATCCGAAGGCATTATTTGTCGATCAGACTGAAATCACTATTTTTAAATTGCTTAAATCAAAATATGCACATATCGTACAACAGAACATTTTTGTCGAGAAAGAAATCGATTCGTATGCCCTTGCGGTAGATTTTCCTTGCTGTAATTCGTATAGAATATAGTGTCGAATATGTCAACACTACATAACAGTAAAAATTGATTGATTTTAAAATTAATTTCTCAACTAATTCTAACTGCTTAAAAAAATTTGGATTATTCATTTATGCATCTAATTGTAATCTAATTATTGTACAGTTTTTATTAACGTACTAATGAATATAACTATTATTCTTTACATATAGAGTCGTTATTCTTGTTATTGTTTCTCACATATACTCACCTGTAAAAATCCGTAAAAACGGGCCAATAAATTTTAACACAGTTTTCTAACATCTTTCAATAGCAATAACTCCAGCCAAAAATCATCGTATTGAAATGAAACTAAGCTCAAATTAAAGCTTGGACAACAACCAAAGTTTCGTCAACAACCAAAAGCTTAAAAGTGAATTATAAAAAATGTTTTACAAAATGGCGAATGTTGAAAATAGACTTCGATTAATGAGAAAAAAATTTTGTTTTTTAACTGTTGTATTGCTCAGGGGAATCGGGTCTCTGGTACAAAAGTATATGAGATTTAAAGCTCATTTATTTCTTAACAAATTAATATTTTAATCATTTTTCTACGACCTTTTTTGATAATTGAAAATTATGCTGTTTTGAAGAAAATGTTACGAGTCCAGATATGAATCCTATCGAGCATTTATGGGCAGTATGCTGAAACGAAGAGCAAAGGAACATAATACTCAAACGTTAGCAGCACTTTGCAACGTTTTGCAAGAAAAATGGAACAATATAAAACAAGAAGAAATCAGAAATTTGATTTGCAGTATGCCACAACGAACAGAAGAATTGTTAAATACAAAAGGAGGCAACGCATTATTAAACTTAAATATACACACACACGCGCGCGCGCCCACACACTCACACACACACACACACACACACACACACATACACACATATACACACATAGTCTGTGAGAATAAATTTAAAAGGTTTAGAAATGTTAATTATGATGTGAATGACAAGCCACATTTTGATTCAAACAATATAGAAAACAACGAATTGGAAACATTGCTCAACGAAAATTTGACTTAAATATTAAAAGAGCTTGCAGGGCAGCTTGGAGTTGATAAATCAACAATATCCCATTATTTAAAAGAAATGGGACAAGCCCAGAAAGAAAAAAGTAGGCTTCCCCATGAACTTTCTATTGCGACGTTACTCTCCTTTTGCCGTCGGCCCCCGCGCCCCGGCCGCTCGCACTCGCACCAAAGTTGTTGGGCGCCAGGTGCAGCGGGCTGCACCGATCACCAACACGAAACGAAAAACCACCAAATGGCCGAGACACGCGAATCCGACGGGACCGGTAGCTCCTCGATATTTTAAGTCGGTAGACGGGAGGGTTCGATAGGGAATCCGGGAAATTATCAGGAAAATACAAGAGTAGCACTGCGCGTTTGGATTATCTCACTTTTATTATCACGGGAATCAGTACGGCCCGACCCTTCGATACGATACACCTCGCTGTGTGCTCTCGCGAATTCGAGACTTGCTCTGCGCTCACAAATAGTCCAAGACACGGTACGCACGGGACACCGAAATACAAAAACAGGTGGACGGTCTTACACAGTCGGGAACCTCCCGGCGGCATGGTCCTTCGACCTCCTTCCTCCGCTCGCTCCTACGCAACGCAGCTACCAACGGTAATCCTGGGCGAGTGTAGCACAAACTTTAGCTCTCGATAACGGTAGATGAAAACTTTTTCTCGCTAACGGCAAAACGGCACTCTTTTCCGCAACGATATACGATAAGCAATCCGCAATACTCGGCAGCAGGCAAACGATGTAAGAGAGAGCGAAAACGGTAGTCCGCTCTTTTGTTTCCTCCAAAAACAGCTTTCCTCCTTTCTTCCTTGTCTCTCCGTTGTTTTGTCTAGAGGCTCTTCTCTCCCCGTTCCTCGTTTTCTCTCCCAATACGGGAATCCTTCCGCGGATCTTTGTTTTCGATCCGCGGGACGGATGTTCGGTCTCACTCTCGCGCGCTCTCTCTCTCTCTCTCTCTCTCTCGCGCTCCCGCTGTCTGTGCGCGCCTAGGCCGGCTTTGTCTCGCACGCGGTTACGCTTCGAGCACGGGAGCAACGATATATTCGCTTGATATTCCTACGGGCCTGTGGACAATGAAAACGGCAGCGAGAATCTTTCGAGGCGATACGGGAGTCGATAATGGGAAAGATAAGGGGAAGCATTCACCTGAAGTGGCTGTCCGGCGAAGGACAATGTTCTCTTCTTCCTCCTGGCTCCTCCGGTCTTGATGGTCGGCACAGGAGGTCCAGGGGCACAAAGCTCGGGGACGCGGGACCGTCACACCTGTGCGCTCTTACCACTAATATTAATAGCTCATTACAATTTCGGAGGAGGGTCCTTTGCAATTCGCGCAACCTTTAGGACCTCTTCCCCCCCCCCCCACCCCGCCTCGCGGTATAGGGCTCACCATCTTGTGACGGGCGCCTCCGCGGCTGCCACGTCACACTATAAACGCAACATTAGAATATCTAAAATGGCCAATTTACGCCTGTACATGATATAAATGTAACGTAATCTAACAAAAATTTATTTCTGTAAAAACCCGTCCAGTATATAAAACAAACATTTCGGCCTTGTATTTGGCCCTCATCAGTAGCTAAAATGCGAATCGATTTGTTTCCTTCCCGACGATTTTCTGATATCATTGAAATAAAACTAATTTTCGCCCTCGGTAAAAATTGAGGGTTTTTTTATCATAAGGGCTAATATACATATATGTTATATGGACAGTTTTTTGTACGAAAATCTACAGTTTACGTTACACATAAGATTCCTGAGGATAATAACGTCATCAAACCTCAAAGATTCTTAAAAATATGACATATGTTATTTTACCCAGATAACACAAATATATTCTATAAATATTATATAAATATTTTTCGAGAACATTAGAATATTCATACAATATACCGATAAGATGAAAAAAACATTTTATGCATATATAGGGTGGGGAGTTATAAGTTTACAACTCGAAATGTGAAGGTATCACCAAGGTAATGGTTCACCATGAAAGAAGGAGGGCGTACTAGGTAGCGACGGGACGCTATGCGTTCTGGACCTGCATCTTATTTTCGTTCCGAAGAGAGAAAAATATCGAGAGCACGGTAGTCGCTAGATCGGGAATCGAACCCAGGTCTTTCGTTTGCCGGGCGACTAGACCACTGAGCTATCTGACGCTCCACGCTCACGACACTCCCCTCTCCCTAGATAATGTTGAGAGATGCCGTTCAGAAGCGACATCTCTAATGCTATCCCAAGCGCACGGCGACTACAGAGAGAGGCATTGTTACTTGTACCTAGTGGTACAAGCTGGTGGTCTCTCAAAGTCCAAGGTTGCTATTCTTTAAGACTTGCTGTCCATGTATGCCGGCCTCCACCGTTGCTCCTCCTTATCCTGTGCAAATCATATAAATAAGCCCCGGGGTTGACGCCATATTTTGGCTGCCCTCGGGCGCTTGAACACGTTTTTGCAACGCGCCGAAAAGGGATCCATCATGAAAGAAGGAGGGCGTACTCAGTTGTTTGAATTTACTCTCAAATGTGAGTATATACACTTACATTTGAGAATAAATTCGAATAATTGAGTGTAGATACTCAATATTTAAGTGTTTTCTCCGTAAGGGACGACGAGGTGTACGCTGATAACTTATTAAATGTTATTAAATGGGTTATTAAATGTTAGCAATCAGATATCAAATAACAGTGATGAAGTATGGGACAGTGGAAGTGAGATTATAGTCAGGATAACAAATTTATTACTGAAATAATTACGCTTTTTTATTTACTAAATATCAATTATGTCTGAATTTACAACAAAATATCAACAACATACCATCAATTT